CTGGCTTCTCAGCATGCACCCCAGCTCAGACATCTTCAATTGTTTCCCCTCAGACAGGCTTAGGTTTAACCCCATTTTCTGTTTATTAGTTTCCTAACTTGCAGGCTTCATCCTTCATGCCCAACTCTGTCCTAAACGGATTGTAGGCAAGGAAGGAATTGGTCTTTCATATCTGGGGTTTCCCTTTTTTCCGCTTCTGAGAGCCAGTCCAAGGAGAGATGGAGAAACTCTCCTGGAGTGTGATACAGTGAAAGGTGGGAGACACCCAACCCTAGGCCTGAACCTTGTCAGAAAAAGAGTGGAGAATGGCGGACAACCCTGGAGCTGTGTAATAGCCCCTCTTTGTTTTCTAATGTCTGGCCCCTTAGGGATATCTCGCAGCATGAAGGACCATGTCACAAAGCCAACAGCCATGGGCCAAGGCCGTGTGGCTCACATGATTGAATGGCAAGGCTGGGGCAAAGGTAACAGCCAGCAGCAGCAGCAGCACACGCATGAGAGAGCATGCAAAGACGCTGATGCCTACTCAGACCTGAGTGATGGTGAAAAGGAGGCCCGATTCCTTGCAGGTAGTGCTAACTTTTTGGCATGTGGATTGGATTGGTTGGTCACAGAGCAGAATCCCTGAGAGTAACAAAGTGCAGGAACCTGAAAAACACACTCAGGAGAGCCTGTGGGCGGTTCAGATGGCAGAAGGAGATGAGAGACTGTGGTTGGAGTATTGCCAATGGAATGCAAAGTGGAGAGGGTGAGGGCCAACTGTGGGTGATGGGTGTTGCTTGAGATAGGACAAGAGTGGGACAGTGTGACCAAGAAATGAGGTTAAAGAAGGTGGTGAGAAGTGGAGACTTACACACATCCCTGCTTCCCTTCCCTGTCTCCTTTGGCACAGGAGTGATGGAGCAATTTGCTATTTCTGAGGCAACTCTCATGGCCTGGTCCTCCATGGATGGTGAGGATGTGAGTGTAAACTCAAATCAGGAGAACCCAGTAGGCAACTACTCTGAGAACTATCAGGAGCTAATGGAGAGCCAAGGTGAGCTCCAGTACCTCTTGCTAATCTTGAAAAACTCCTTTCCTGCTCTTGTTGTCATGTTGCTCTCTAATTCTCTAGCCTCAATTTTTGGGATTGGGATCTAGCAGAGGCATCACTTATTTTTAGAGCTATCCAAGGATTCTAATCTTAATAGGGAGGCTCCAAGGCACAGTAGCTTTGCCTTTTTTGGCACAACTTTGGAAAGCTACCAGCTCTTGCAGACAATTGTGGATATAATCAAGTTAATCTGCCTTCCACCTGGAACTGCCTTTTCTTTTCACCCTCCTTCCCTCTAAAGGATTTATCTACCCTGTAGAGTACTGTGCCATGCTATTGATCTGAATGAGCCCGCTTGGCCTAGAAATGGTGTCTAACGATACGTTGTTTCCCTTCTTTACTTGCAGAGCATATGGCCCAGACACAGTATGACAGCTGGCCTCATTCCTATGTCTCACAGGGAATGTATTGCTTGGGTTCATCTGATGCCTGGGAGACCAGTGACCAGTCCCTCATTGCTTCCCCAGCAACTGGCTCCTACTTAGGCCAGAATTTTGATGAGTCCCAAACAAACCTTCAGGAAAGCATTCTGAGTCAGAGCAGCCTTCTCCAGCAGCAACAGCTGCAGCAACAGCGGCAGGAGCAGAACTTCATCCAGAGCACAGGGCTGGTCCATGTGTGGCCCCTGCAAACTGCTCAGGGTGGGGGTGGGGCTGAGTCCAGCATGTACATGGAGGACCACCATGAGGATGAAGGGAACCCACTGCTGGAGAAAGCTCCCCTCCTAAACAAGAAGCCCTCTCCAGAGGAGGATGATGCAGTGTGCCGGGACCTGGAATCACTGTCTCCTCGAGAGGAGATGGAACATGCTGCACTGAGCCGCAAAGTTTCAGATGTCACCTCCTCTGGGGTGCAGTCTTTTGATGAGGAAGAGGGAGAAACAAACAACTGATGCTTTCTGTGAAGTTCTCATCGCTACTGAACAAAGAGAGGGGTGACAAGGAATGAAATGACAGGGATTCTTCTCTCCAGCTCCCCATACTTCAGAGCAGACACACCTTCCATTCCCAACATTTAATTATTTTTTTAAACAAGAGGAAAATCTCAGTGACTGACACATGAAGACTTCTTCCCCTCCGCAATGGACACATATTTTTGATTTTCATTGCTCCAGGCAACACATGTGAAGTGCTTGGAGAGATCTGGATTTGTAAATCCTTTCTAATTTTTTTAAAATATAAAGTCTTGGCTGAGGATACAAACTCTTCTGGTACTGGGGATGTGGCTGATGAGACAGGCTTGGTATAGGGAGTGGCTATGTGGCTAGAATCCATCTTGTCAGAATGGATGTTGCTCTGTGGACATGGTCCCCTTTGATAGAATATATGAATATAAACTGGTTTAAAATGAAGATACGGCTTTACAAATATAGATTGCACTAGTATTTTGATTGGGGCTGATACAGAGGATAAGGCTGTATTTGATACAGACTGTACTAAGATGAAAGATTTGCTGTGTAACCAGATCCTCGATAGCACCTTGATACAAAATTGCACACTCGATGGATACAAACAGCACTCCATGGGCACAAGCTGTGCTGCAGTACACATGGTGTGGCTCTGTGGTCATGGCTTTGCTGTGACATGGAGGAATGGATGCAGATACAAATCTAGCCCTGCTCTCAGATATTAATGCTTTGGTCTTTATCTAATCTTTTATTTATTTGTTTCTCTCTTTGACATTTCTGCCTTCCCAGGAGCTGGCAAGAGTGCTGTGTCCTTTTGGCACTGGGCACTGGATGCCAGTGGAAAGGACATTTTCAGCTACAGAGACAGTCATAAAAAGCTGACTTACCGGGGGCTTGAGAACCTGTCCATCTTGGTGCTGCTGCTGTATCCTTCTGTCTTTTCCCTTGCCACTAGTATGGGGAGACCCAGAGAGTAGGCAGTAGATCCAGGAACAGTGTGTACAGCTATGAGATCACAGATACCCAGTTTACATTGGAGTTTTCAGTTTTTGCTTTTTTAAATCTTTTTATATTGTTGGTTAAGTGTTCCTAACAAAGCAGCTAATAGTGGGAAAGGCCTGTACTCCAGTCACCACTTAACAGAAATGCTCACCTTTCTGCCACTCCTTCTGCAGTGCCAAATGTGGCTGGAGGAAAAGGGGTGAGAGGAAGTTTTCTCCTCCTATTTCTTTCTTCTTCTTGCCTATATTTTCTTTTTTTGTTTTCCTACCCCCAAGCAATGTAAATAATGTTCAGTACTTAGTCTGTTTGTTTTTCCCTCCCATCTCTTTTTTTTTTTAGGAGTGGAGAAAGCTGATTTTAGAAGTTTTCCCTATTTGTATGGGTTCTATTTTTTTTTTGTTAAAATAATATGGTTCATTGACCAGGAGGAGTTCGGTTTCTTGCAATTCCTTGCCATGTTTCTGCAGAACTCCTTTTGGGAGAGGGGTTTTGGAAGGAAATTGACCAATGATCTCCTCTCAAGCTCCCACCAGAAAATAAACAGGAGCAAAAGCAAAAGGAAAAATTGTACAAGGCTATAAATTTTGCTGGAGGACTGAACAGAACCATCAGAAATTACCCAAGTGCTGAGTTTCAATTGCAATACCTCTTGCAAGGAAGCATCAGCAAAGCATAGGTTTAGATCAGATGCTAGATCCGATGAGCTAGAGAAAGGAATTTGCCTGGACACTGCCATACTGTCCTAGAGGCAACTCCTTCTCACTTACTCATATCTACTCTGTTTAATTCGTGATACATTTGTCTCTGCCTCCTCTTCAGGCTTGGTGTGTTTTTTGGATGACAGGAGAGTGATACATGCTCCTTTCCTGATTCAGGTTTAGTCCCAGCATATTTGCAGGGAAGAATGTCTGAGGAGAATAAAATGTGACTGAAGTAATATCATCAAGTGTAAGAGTTTAGGCAGCTCCCAGCAATCAAAGCAGATTATGTCCAGGAATTATGAAAAGTACGAATGGGACTCTCAGGTAGAACTTTACCCTATTCAGCTTTCTCCAACTTACACAGGCATGAAGAGGGTCTCCTATATGAACACCTCAGTCTTTCCAGCCAAGTCCAATTCAGTCAGATCTGTCTTCCCTCTCCATTGCACCTCTAAAGGAAAGACCTTTGGGATATTTAAGTAAGACTGGTAATTTGGTGTAGGTAGGATATAAAAGTTTTTGTGAACACCTTTTTTAACCTATTTGCTTGGGCTTGCTTACATCTCCCTAAGGAGGTAGCTCTTCTCCTGAATGACCTTTCAATATCTCTTTAAAGATGTTTACACATTCAGGTGCTAACCTCCCCCGGGCAGGAGGGCTTGATAAAGATGATCTTCTACAGTTCTTGCAGGGCCAGTGCTAGCTCCTTGTCCTGAACTGTTTTGGGTCTAGCCATGGAGCAGGGCCTAGGAAATCGCACTAGCCAGAACAGGGAGATGGGGCAAGTGCGAAGAGCATCTCAGCAGATGATAAATGAGTAAGTGTTAACCTTTTCTTATTCCTTCTTTAAAAAGCCATCAGGGAAACAAAAATGGTAGGGTACGTTCCTTTGTGGGAGAAGATTGGGGTGGCTTGTTGCTTTTTTCTCCAAACCGTTTTGTTCCCACGTGCCTCTCCAGGGCCAACCTGGATGTTTACAGTAACTTCTAGAGTAGCTTCTAATGATTCCTCTATGTTTACAGGATTGGGACAAGTGAGTCAACTTGTCTAGGGCTTCTTTTTCTTTTAATGTGGACATGTGGTACATTTGCTAAGGTGTCTGATTGATGTCTAAAAAATGTACTTTCTCCCTATGAAAGGTAGTGACAGGGAATTATCTACATGGGAAAAAGTGTGAAAAAACCCAACCTTATAGAAAATTCGATGGAGTTCAATAGGAAGAGAAAACCTTAACTGTAGCATTTTCTAACCTCTGTGGAATGGGATAGAGATTTATACCCTGGTGTATAATTCCATAATCTGATCTTTAGAAACCTGTAGATTGACTCTCATTCTCTGTGAATTCTGACTCGTTTGAACACTACTCTTCATAAAAACTTTCAAACTTACTAAATTCTAGAAAACTTTTTCATAAAGGTCTTGACTTTCTGTGAATAATAAAATTTCAGCCTTTTTCTGGAAAAAAAAAAAAAAAAGAAAAAGGCTATTTTCCATGACCTCTCCACAATCCAAATAAGAAATTTATCTACATTTGCCAGGAGCTTGACTGGAGAGAGCAGGTTTGCCCATCTACACTCGCTACCCAAGGGAGCAACCTGTGCTGAACTGGAAAGGCAATTTGAATCTCTTTGAAAATGGAAAATGGTTTGTATAACCTGACCTCTTCTTATGTAACAGGCCTGCTGCTTGTGTCTATCTAATACCAGAGAGAGGGACCTGGAACCTACTGTACCTTTCCCAGAAAAGCCGTTATTATATAGCTACACATATTCAAGCATATGGAAGGCACAGGTGTTCCATGAGCAAAATTTGGCCTGCAGTTTCTTTATCCTGGTGAAGAGGGATGAGTTGGTGAAAGTCCAGCCAAATACTCAGACCCCAGACTGGATTTGTGAGGCTGAAAATAAGAAGGAAAGGTAAGCTCAGTATCCCTGATCTACAATTACTAAGAAACTGAGCCCTGCTATTCATTTACACAAACCTTTTGTGAAGCAGAGCTGCGCTACAAAAAATTTTGGATTTTTTTGAAGCAGTGGAGGTAGAAGATTCCCATCTTTCCCCCTAAGCTGTTGTCTTCAACAGGAACTTGTTGAAATTACTGTGCTGAACATGAAGGAAGGCTTAAACGCAAGTGACCCTAATAAATTCTCTCTTGTTCCTTTTCCCATGATTGATCATACCTGATCAGTTACACTCT